ATAATCTAATCAATGCCGAGTGAGAGGGAAATGAAGGCGTTTGGTGGTTTGCTGGTCACCACTACGGCTGTATCTCCGCCGATTGAATCTAACACTCTGGTCAGCGGTGTAGGGAGAGCATTCACTTACTGTTAATGAACATTAAATACGAGCTGACAGCCTTTCTATGGATCTAATTCCGCGTGAACTGACGCCAAAACAAGGAAAGGTACAATAAATAGTATTTATTTATTAAATACTGGTTTCAAATCATGGCATCAAATCAATAGCATGGCTAATTACAAACCACTGATTTGTATTGTGAATTCCGTCCAAATTTGCCGACTTGGGTCTGTTTGAGGAGCGGGTGGACAATCGCCCACATACAAACCCAAGTCATTTGTGGAGCCCACCAAGTCTTTTCTTGCCACCTTATTTCGTACTTAAACGGGTCAGTATACGGAATTCGCGATTTGGGGAAGATTCATTCAAAGAACTGTCCTGTCCAATTTTGAGTACCCACTAGGGATGGGGACGTAAACTGCTTTAACGTAAATTTTTGCTTGTTCCCGTTCCCGTCAAAAAGTTCCCGTTGGCGTTTTTCCTTACGTACATTCCCGTACAAATGACATTAAGTTGAGGAGGTTTATTTATTTATTTTCAAAAGTGCCGACCCAATCGCCATAGTTGGCGACACCAACAGCAACAACTACAGCGGGCGCAGCTCCACGCGTAACTGAACGGGTTGGCCTCGAGTTTGCGCATGCACTGCCGTCTCACAGCGTCTCGCAACCGTCAATCTGTCCACAGCAAGCAGCTACATTCGGTGGAAGCAAGAAGAAGCCTGCCAAAGATGGAGTGTGGGCCTATGCCGTGCGGACATCGTCAAGTTCACTGCCAACTTCGAGATCGAGCTGGTCCAGCAGCGTCTGGGAGCAGTACATGACCTCCACGTAGAACTACAGGTGGAGAGCACCAAGTTCTACATTGCTATTTGGATTCAATCACGACAGGAGGGTCTCTCTTGCGTCTAAGTGACCATGGCTAATCATCCGCGTCGCTGAACGTGGGTCTAAAAGTTACTGCAGATCAACCATGGCGTCCACGGGGCATTATGAAAAAAAACTTAAATGGAGATATCACCAAGCAGCCCATGGCTTGGTTGTGTTTTTGGACTCTAAAAGACTCACATGAATACTGAACTCGATCGCTGCGAGCACTTCCAGTGTGAATCGCCCCATGATGTGATGCACATGGACTACGGCGACTTCCTCTGCTGCCTTGGCCAATACTTGTTGGAAGCTAATGCACTTTTCTGGAAATCCTGGCCAATGGACATGATGTGCTACGTTCAACTCGTTAAAGCACAGACCCCTCCCCTCAATAACCACGATACAATGCCCACAGTTTGAGCCCGCACTCACTCCACGGACGTAGCACACACTTCACATTGCAAAGTCCACACTCGCTGCCCACACTACCAATCTGTAAAGACCTCACCCACGACACTGCACTCCAGAATCGCTTCTCCACAACTCAATAGGACCCTGAACACCATGATTCACACTTAGTACTCGTCCACCTTCGCCCCGTAGCACTCGTACCTCGCGATTTCAGATCTTGTCAAAGTCTCAGTACTGTCAACTGAAACCTCTATTTCAGAATTAGTTTGTTTATTCTCTATAGTGGGTTTGAGATTGACGTTAAGTTACGTAAAATGTACGACAAAATTCTGGCCCAAATTTTGTGTACGGGAACTTTACGTACGTTAACGTCCCCATCTCTAGTACCGATATTTCTGTGGAACTCATCCGTAGGTTCTGTGGATTTGCTTATTCTGTCTGTGCTATTCTCTCAATAATTACGTGGGCATTGAAGGAGTCAACAAATAAGAGAGCGTGTTCGATGCACTGGTACATGTGATGAAAAAAATACGTAAGGTTTAGGGGACAATCAGTCCCCTTTATCAGATATAACAAGGTTACAAAATTGCGTAGCACACGTAGCTTAAAATTTTTGGAGTCTACAAGAATTCAGTAACAACTACAGCAAACCACTACCCCCGACAATCGCTTCGGCTTAATCCCTATTGAATTATTGAGCAAAGGTTTCACCTAATTAATGCTGATTGTATTAGGCTAAACGCAAGTACAGTCGGATTCGTTTTCTACTTTGTAGACGTGGTATAGTGGTACGTCCACATCTGGAATCTTTTATTAGTACTAAATCAGTTACCTATTTCATGAATTAATAAATCATTTTCAGCATCTTTAAGAAATAAGTGAAAACGTGCTGGTTGGAGAGCGATATCATATTTACTCCATTCATTAGATAAAGTACTAAATATCCGAGGATATTAATTTTTACTGGTTCGATTCAGACAGCGTGGGAATGTTATTTTTACCCACATGTTTTGCCTATCCATCTTGTCACATTAAATGGCAGCTCACGCGAACTCACGGTGAGGTTCTCCCACAAGCACCGTTTTCCATGGCCAGATTAATGGTGAGCCCCTCACTTCGCAATTGAACATCCCCAGTTACGATGGCTATCGATTCCAAGCGCAAGTTGTCTCATGTCCATGTACTGTTGGCTACTCTAGCGCTACTGATCTGCGCCAGTGAGGCATTGAGTGTTATTAATGCCAACAAGCTAATCCGCTCCAGTGTTCCGTCCCGTCGGCGTCATACGTTCGGTAGGCGCTTGAGGGCGACGGTAGATGATACCGACACCAATTACGACTTCGAAGATAGAGGCTTCACCGGTATCACGAAGATAAAAGACTTCACTCAAGCTGGAACGAAGAAACTGCAGAAGCTCGCTGAGTCTGCCAAGACGAAGTTGACCTCCAAGCCCACTGTTGACCAAAGCTTCAAGCAGTTCAAAGTTCATAAAGTCAAGTCGAATGTGTTCGAAAGCAAACAGTTTCAAGCCTGGGCCAAGTCTGTAGCGAAAGCTACCAAGAACAATCAGGACGCAGCTGACACTGCGATGCTCGCGACGCTGGCGACCCACTATGGCGATGAAACCCTTGCAAGTATAATAGATGCTGCAAAGCTGGTGACGAGTACAAAATCGATGGCCACTAGGCTGGAGAATATGCAGATAAAGCAATGGATGGATGATGGGGACGCACAACTGAATAAATGGGCGGCTGATGGGAAAACTGGCGACGTCGTGTACAAGTTTTTAAGGATTGACACGGAAGGCAGTAATTTGCTTAAAAGTCCCAAGCTGAAAACGTGGATGAATTACATGACAAAGCTGCACAAGGATCCATATGACGTTCTACTTTACAAGCTAAAACCGCACTATGATGACGCAGGACTAGCGAAAATGCTTGTTTTGTCCAAGAAAGATTCAGCAGCGAAAACGGTCGCTGAGAAGTTGGAGACGTTGCAATTTGAAAAGTGGAAGAACAATGAAAAAAGTGTGGCCGACGTTTTCAAGTTTCTGAAATTAAATGAAGACAGCACGACACTTCTGAAAAACCCAGTGTTAAACACTTGGGTCGCTTATGTGGAAAAGTTGAACAAGAACCCCTACGAATTGCTGTTTTCGGCGATCAAGAGTAAGGGCTTCGACGATGTTGAGTTGGCGAAGCTGATCACTGCAGCGAAGCAAGACATGCATACTGGGGCAATTGTTGGAAAACTGGAGCAAGTACAATTCCAGAAATGGGCGAGAGATGGGAAAACCAGTGGAGATCTCTTTAAGTATCTAGGGCTCTACAAAGCAGGGGACAAGTTGCTTGAGAGTCCATTGTTGAACAATTGGCTCTCCTACATGCAAATGCTGAGGAAGGATCCCTATGCGCAGTTAGTCTTTACAATCAAGAAGTCAGGCTTCGACGAGATAGACTTGGCAAAGATTATTAATACGGCGAAGCAAGACCCCAAAACCAGTGCTCTTGCTGGACAAGTGGAGAAACTACAGCTCGATAAATGGTCGGCCGATATGAAAAGCAGCGAAGATATCTTTAAATTTCTTCGACTTGACAAAGAAGGAGACAAGGTGTTTGAGAGCCCAGTATGGGGCACTTGGGCCGCTTACCTCAACAAGCGGGAAATTGACCCAGATGCAGATTTGGTGATGTTCAATATTCTGAGAAACAAATTTGGTGACGAGGGACTAGCAAATATGGTTACGAAAGCGAAACAGGTTGAGAGTACCAGAGAGGTCGCCGAAAAGTTGCAGCTGGAACTTTGGCGTGCGAATGCACATAGCTCAGATTACATTTTCAATCTTCTCAAATTGAACGAGAAGGGCAACAAGATTCTAGAGAGTCCGGGGCCATTAAGCACGTGGGTGGCTTATGTGCGAAGGGTGAACAGCTTCAATAGCAACCGAGGAAAATTCCAACCTATCCTACTGTTGGAGAAGCGTTTCGGAGAGAAGGAGCTAGCACAAATGTTTGTCAACTCGAAATCTCGACACTATGCAAGCAAGCCCGGCATTATCGAGAATTTGCAAGAGTGGCAATTCAAAAAGTGGATGGTTCAAAAGAAAAAACCCGGTGACGTCAATAAGATGTTCCCATCGGAAGACCTGACCAGCTTGCAAATTAAATATGAGTTCAAGAACTTCTACAAGGAGAATGTCGACACACTGATGATTTAGACAGAGTCCAGTTCCAGTTTTGATTGACTAGCTAGCTTTAGAGCTTCTTAAATTCAGTACCAGCCAGCACTTAAAATGTTTTGGTCGTGCTTCGGCGAGACCAATAGCTTTTTTGCATGAACAAGGTCGTTGTTGCCCAGAAAAGCCAAACAAACTGGTCCATGGCATCACAGTAGAAGGTGGAACTAAATGACCGCCAAATGCGTTACAGGTTGAGACTGGGTTAAGTATTGTGGTAAGCAGTAGAAGCAACTGAACAGGATCCATAGAATACCACAGCCTTTATCTCCTATTAAACCAGGACATCGTTTGCTTGCCAAACCAGGCGATGCGTATTGCGCTGTATTAACTTACTTCGCATGTTAACAGAAGGATACATAGCAAACGTAACTTGAATGGCATCATTTCGTACATGTACAAGTTTCGGCAAAAAACAATGAAAATACGCGACTCCATTTTACTACATTATGTACGTATACTTGTTGCAGCTTTCTTTTCATTTTATGAAGCAGGGTATTACGAGTATTCTTCGAGAATCCTATTTGAAGACTATGACGGCTAAGGAGTATGTGATAGTATTGTGAAGAAAAAAAGAAGAATGCTGCTGGAACTGCTTTTGTAGTCAAAGGAAGAGTATCTGAATGAGATCTGAAGAAGAATCTTTGGCAGTTTCAGTCTCTGACGATGGGGAAACCTACGCTGTGGATATTTCGAGGCGGTAGTTGATGTTATTTAAAAATTGTTTCTCAGTCGATGCAACTTATTTGATGTAGTCGATGTCTCTGCTGAAAAGTTCTAACAATGCCTCAAATAATCGATCAAATACAATATTGGATGGCATAAAAAACTTGGCTATATAGAAGTTTGTCTCTCAATAGGCCCAATACTTCGATTTCATCAAAGCTATCCTGTCTACACCGCAAGCTGACGTTGGCCGCAATGCTGTGGTAACTTCGGGCGGAATTAGCATTACGCCAATTTCGATTCGAGAATGTTACTGCCACACTCTGAATCATGATCGCAACGAAAAAAAAAGATATTTGCATGCACAGTGTAAGGCGCAGACGGCCTAGTGCTCACCGTGTCTCTGCCTCTGTAAACAGCTACATTTTAATCATGCGGCGACGGTAGAGACTACATCTACGCTTACGGCAAGCACGGTAACGACTCCGTTGGGCTTCATTGTTTGTATTTAAGGTGTAATAGGCTGAGAAAAAGCTCTCGACGTGACGGACGAGACTATAATCATGAGCGACAACAATTGCAGGCACTGCTGGTAAGATGTTCAAGCACAGTATGGTCCTCGGTTTTACGCAATGTGGATCGAACGTAACACGTGCTTAGTAAGCGTTTCTAAAAAGCGATGACAACCATAACCTAGAGGATACCGATACGTAGTCCAGGCCCAGCAGGATATAGAACGCTTGTAAATTCAAAGTAACAACAGCACCAAAACGTCACATGAATAGTATTTTTCAATGAATGGAACTTGGCTGTCACGTAGTTAACTAACTAAGGACGCCCGATGAGCCATCCCAATCCGACCACCCCTCCTGGTCTCGCAAGACCTGAAGATCTTCACATTCAGATGTGGCCCACATCAAGTGCTCGAGGCCCCCGGCGCCTTGGGCACCTCATCATACAGATAATAACTAACTAGTAGATGTAACATGTATTTCATTATTATAGTTTTGTACTATTGAAAATGCTCTGCTGCAAGATGATAGCAAAATTACTACTCACTTGTAGAGAGTTCAATCTGCTGAAGCCTGATATTCCAGTTCTCACTTCACCTCGCTGAAGACTAAAATGATCGCTTTGTTGATTTCGCTTGTGCATCCTTGAGATGATGCGGACTGCTATCACTACTAGCGGACTTGAATTTCGAGAGATTGTCTTCATTCGCGTCCTCAGCAGCGTTGACTTCGACGCAGCGTATGATGGTGGCGATCGCCACTAAAACAAAAGGAAGGCTGATTCGCATAGGTAAGTTTTCTTTACTACTCTGTCTCCGAAATGAGGAGGCAGCAGTTGCTTCAAGTAGTCGCTGTAGTACATGGTCGTACATGTAGGATGATTGACGATGAAGATAGTCTAGACGTGATTAGCCCCCTTAAATGAGACGGGATTATGTTCGTATTCTGTCATCTTGATTGATGCAGGCCGTTCCGACAACGTTAGCGTATGCCAATGTTATGAGATTGCAGCAACGTTCGCTTATCCCAGGATTATGTTCACTTTGTAGCAGGCCTCGGACAATACAGTATTATATTGTACAGCCTTGATTATGTAGTACATAATCAATTGGATCTGATCTGAATATGTTCCGAATACATACTGTTGACAGCGACCAGACTCATGTAAACTCCTCTAAACTTCAAATACCCGTTTAAGTAAAGTCAACCTTCTGAGTATCAAACGATCTCATTGGAGAAAAATCGCGGATTTCATCTGTTTCCGACACTTGATTTCTACAGGCGACAGTGTTGTGATCTGTGGGTCGCTTTAATTGTGGGAAATAAAGCTGATTCCCGATAACATCCCTAAGTAAACTTAAGTGGCGGATATTAACAGTTATTTTGTTTATAGGTTAAACTCGTTTCTTTTTTATAGTGCGTTCTTCTTCCAGGAACATTCGTGATGTGAAAAGAGTCACACGAATACTACATGTAGCTGCATTGCTAGCATTTTGAGTGCATTCTGTTTGTTAGTGATTGCATATTTAGATTTTGTTCAACGTGTATCTAGCAAGATGATACAATTATCATCCGTCAAGAGATTTGAAGCAGTGCGTTTAATGGAACGAGAAGCACTTCTAAAGAGACCATATAGGATTCATAACAACCTGAGGAGTAGACTAAACTCCATTCCATCTAAAGAGAAAGCTTCAACAGTACAAATGGGAGGATAATCGCATTAAACGAGTTCTCTACATTATACATGCAAACAGCCACTTAGTAAGAAGCAAGACCCAAAATATAATTAGGTATAATTGCGTACACACCTTTCAGCCAGGACTCTACGTACGTACTGCACTTTAGGCTATATAAAGCTACCTAAATGACTCCTCCGATCTTCAAACTCGTACTATTGATTGATGATTCAATATCAATTGTTTTATAGGGTATTACTAATTTTCTCTTCGGTTTGCGGCAATGAAATATGTGTAATTGTCGTTGCTAAGTATTTTTTACACGTCATTCAGTGGGATACAAACTCGTAGATGGTTCGTTTCTTGCTACGATAATACTCAAAAGACACCGCAGTAGTCGAGCGTGAGAACGGGGTGGTCATCGGTTCATTTCTTGAACAAGGCATTAAACAGCTTGAGGAAGGCATTAAACAGCTTGAGTAAGTGAAGCTTTAATTCGGAGTAATTATTTCGATCCAAATATATCAGTTTCATTTAATGCAAAGTTTCCAGCATGTTCTTGAAATCAAAGCAGCGGGTCTTCCCGCAATTAATGCTATTATGGGAAATAGGAAAAGCCATTTGAGACTGCGTCAAACAAAAAGTTACTAATCAACCATTAATTAAAAAGCGTCTAAGGCACACCTTTCAAAAGCCCTGTATCTCTGCCGTCCGTAGAGCCCTCAAACGAAGAAATCCATTCAGCCGTTTCGGATAAATCGGCTGACCAAAAAATTATCTCCGTCAAGGACGTCGAAGTGGTTTTTTTATTGGTGAATTAGATCCAGAATCGCCCAAGGAATCCGGTGGTGGCCTCGGTTTACGCTAATTCGTACTCTAAAAGGTCAGTTTTGCCAGTTTTGTGTTGCCACTCCAGTGTACCCAAGTGTAGTTTTAATTTATTTTTTTTTGAAAAATCGGAAATCTATACACTGATGGACGTAGGTATCAATTCGATTTATCGGGTAAATTGCATACTCTGCCGAAGCACTTACTTCTTTGGGGCCTTCCTCTTCTTTGCAGGCGCTTCCTCGGCGCTTGGCCCGACGTCTTCGTGCCCACGACGGTCCTGATTCGCTTTGCTGCCACTACCATGGCCGCACGGTGGTCTCGGCGTGCCTGCTTGGCTGCTTTGGCATCCAGGTGATCTTGCGCACTCGGTTTTGCGTACAGTGGATCGTCTCGGAACTCCTCGGGGACGTATGGCCTGGTGTTATGGTACATCGTTTGGCTTTCTCCACATTGGGCGGTGGTGGGACCAGCACCTCCACGTGGTCGCTCATCATCTTCACCACCTTCTCCTTCGTCGTGAGGATACCGTCAATCTTACGCCGGAGATTCATCTCGACGGGCTCATCGCTAGGTTCCTTCCTACACGACACTACTCCAATCGACACTTCGTCCATGGAGAAGATCTGATATTGCTGAATGCCTTCTAGGCGTTTGTACAGCTCCGTCAGCACGCCCTTGTACGTCTTAAACTGCGAGCTACCACATGGAATGTGAACCCTCACAGAATTCGCCGCGGCTTCCTTAACAGCGTTCACTACGTGAGCCACAATATAGCAATCTTCTTTCGCAACGTGCTTGCGAATATGACTCTTCTTCCGGTTCCCTGGGGGCGACCGGGGCAGCAACAGGAGCGCCAGTGTCGGCACGGTGGGGAGCAGCTTCACTGCCGCCAGCAGCAGCTCCCGACGCGTACGCTGTTAGATCCTCCATGGTCGTCTGCTTTGTAGGTGATACACCTCGATCCAAATTTTTGAAAAGTAAAAAAGGCTCTTACTCAGCAATTCGTTTATGTACGAAAAACCGTTGGTCAACTTCAGAGCCGTTTATCTCGAAAACGCTAAAATGTTGATTAGTAACATTTTGTTTGCCGCAGTCTCATTTCAACCCTATGATGGGCGATAATCACCATCCGAAAATTACGTACTTGTCAAGTACGTAGTACCTCATAACACTGTGACGACATAAAAAACAACCGTGACGTTAACAAAGATTACAAGCTAACACCTAGGCCACTCATTCATTCTCGAACTCGCCAAACGCCCCACAACCAAGACCCAAGACGTCAAACTACACTCGCCATTTTCCAATCTAGCAAGTGCCATGCGCAGCTTCCTACTTCTCCTCGTCCTCGCTCTCGTGGCAATTACATGCAGCAATGCTTTCATGTCAAGTCGTCCCAAGCTTAAGGTGTCAAAGCCGGAGCTGGATCAAGCTGTTCAGTGGAACATCGAAGACAAACGCTTTCTTCGAGCTACGGATGCAGCTGATGAAGAACGCGGACTAGCGGACACTAAAACGAAATTGAAGGCATGGCTGGAAAAGTTTATTTCATTGTTCAAGAAGTCGAAATCAGCGAAGGCGACGACGACGACGACGACAACGAACTTAGAGGAGGTGGCTGAGAAGGTGGCGATAAGGTATCAGTCGGAGATGTACAAAAGTGAAGTGATGTTGGCAGAAGATCTGATCAAGAAGGGCGTCATGAATGACGATCTGTACAAGAACAAGATCAGCCCAGAAGCGTACTTTGACGCGATGAAGCTGGACCCGAAGCTCAGATTCGTTTCCGATTCGGCTGTTGCGAGGGCGAACAACCCCAACTTGGAGAAGTTTTTCACGTACTCTCTCTTCTGGACCAAGAAAAATGAGGTCACAAAGGCTGAAGGTCTGATCAAGAAGGGCGTCATGAACGATGTTCTGTACCAGAACAAGATCAGCCCGGAGACGTACTTCGACGCGCTAAAGCTGGACCCGAAGCTAAGATTTGTTTCGGACTCGACGGCGAGGGCGAACAACCCCAACTTGGAAAAGTTTTTATCGTACACTAGCTTCTACAACAAAAGCCAGGCCGGCAAGAGAGAAGTCGCAAAAGCGGAAGATTAGTCCAGAAGCGTATTTTGAGGCGCTGAAGCTGGACCCGAAGCTCAAACTCATCGCGGATTCGGCAGTTGTGAGGAAGAACAACCCAGACCTGGAAAAGTTTTACACGTATGCTACCAAGTACTACAATAGTCTGGCTGGCAAATAAAGCTAGAACTGGCACCTTCTGATACTACATTAAGGACCAGGTCGAAGTAAAAGAGATAATTGAAAGCGATACCACCGTGTTGCATATGAGCCACTGCAATTGCTCCAGAGTACGATACAGTATTGCACCCCGTTTTCGTGCCCTCGGACCTTTGATAAACTTCTGAATATAATGCTCCTTTTGCCAAAACTCCTCGGGTTTTATGCTGAAACCTGATGCGTTTGCAAATCTTAACGGATTTTTACGAATAGTGACCAGTCTTCTATTTATTAGTGGCCCCATGAATTCGATCATTTTTGACGAGGGGTCCTCTGTTCGTAGAGGGCCTCTATATCCTACTCCACTACGCCAACCTCATCAAGCGCAACATCGATATCGTCGAAACTGAATGGGTCCTCACACTCGAGCTCCGTAGTTAGCTCGTTTCCTGCCTCATCACGGCTCCAAGACTGCTCGAACTTCCACCCGTAGACGTCGTGATTTCATACAAATCAGCGCGTGGAATCGACATCAAACCGGCAGACTCAATCGAGTTCAGCACAACAGACTAAGGCGTGTCGCGCCGCGCTTCGTGCATGCAACTACGCACAGTAGTTACTACAGGAGGCGGGTGAGGATTGACATTGCGAGTGTACTCCACAACGCTCGGTCGCTTCCAAGCGTTGGTCAGGACCGACACGCTGTTCTTGAATGGTGCTGGTTGAGCGCTAGCGTTGCGGTCTTGTAATCGTAGAGGGTTTCAAATTCTAGAACAGCATCGAATATTTGACGGAGGTCTTTTATTTGTAAGAGGTCTTTTATTCTCGTAAAAAATCCGTCAAATGGCGAAAACGGGTGCAAAGGGCCGACGCAAAAAATTTAACCAATGATAGCATCTCGTTTCAAATACCAATCTTGTATTGGTAAATAAGCACTAAATACGAAACCTTTCAATCTGTATCTGTGGATTACACGTATTTATAAATTAAAGCGATAATGCCTGATCGGACAAACTCTCAGAGAGTGTATCGCTTTACTGTTAATTTATCGATTTTTTCTTCGCCCTGGTCCTAACTATAATATCGTTGAGAGCGTAAATCCGTTATTCTTGAGTGACAAAGTGAAGAAGACGTTATGAATACGTTTGCGGTCTGTGGGAAGACTTCATCCTGCAAAACATTGTGAGTTGCAAAAGGGCCTATTCAGAGGTCATGACTTCCAGCGGTTTTTGCGGATCCGTTTTGGAATTTAGTGGATTGATCACCTTGCATTTTGATTTCCTAAACATGTTTGGCGGACTAGTGTCGGGTGCTTTCAGAAACACACATTTATCATGAAGATATTCAGTGTTAACTTCACCCGTCGCCCCATACGTAACCTTCGCCTCCCCTGTGCGTCACATACAGCGTATGTCTGCCTATTTGCTTTGCCCTTGGAGTATGGCCAAGGTTATCGTTTCCTGTCATGGTTATTACCACAACCAAGGCTTGAAGACCGAACCTCTAGATGCCGTTCCACAAGAACGTGGCCAGCAGCTCAGCCCGATCACCGCGCCAGTGCTCATATGGGACCCAAACTTGATTCTTCTTAGTTCAACTAGAGACGCAAGGCTAGCTTTACTTCATTTTCAATCTCATTCTCAATTTTTCCTGACAGCAACAACTTCGAGTCTCAACACGACGGAAAACGTGACACCTACCAGAACGACAGATTCACATCGAATACGCTAGGTATGACACTATTGAAGTGTCGCCGTTCTTTGTTTATTAATTCCCTCCGCGACTCCAGGTGAAGCTACCCTTGTAGCGTGACGCAGCTTGTGGCGACGCCATTGTTATTTGCTGCAACCGGACAGCTACAAAATCGATTTTTGTTGAGGGGACTGCAGTGTGAAGTGGGCGAGAATCTAATTTAGATTCAAGTGTGATTGACTTTTAAGCGTCCCTTGATTCGAATAAATGAATTTGCTTTATTCTGTATTGAGGTCTGTCGTCAGAGCAGCGTATAATGCACACCATTTGCATATAATATATGAACCAATTGGCGGTGACCCGGGTCACCAACTATTATGAGAACAAAATCTGAAATATTTATTTAATTTTAGCACCAGGTATTTCTGTAACGGCTCGCGTTTGGACTGCAATCCTTCCACTGTTGGCTGAAACGAGCGACCCTCCTACGATAGAACGACGAACTGGCGGTACAGGTGGCTCGAGCCAGACTGCACCACGGAAGAAA